CCAGTGCCACCTTATGACGCAATGGCTTTAGCTCAAAGTCAAGGCGGCTGTCGGCTCTATGTATCCTCCTTCACCCAGAGCAACTTTTCACTGCCGTCCGATTCCGCAAGGCTATGTTGTTGTGATGGTGGATGAAATAACGGAGGGATTTGAGGAGATCCAGCTTGAGCACCCTACAGATGATGGAGAGACTCAGCTGGGTCTTGCTATGAAGACTCCGTGTCTATGGCGGAAGGAGCACATCAACCTTCTGAACTTCAGGGCTCTGGCGAGTCAGCTGGGCACTCCGCCTCCTCCGCCTCCTCCTCCTCCTCCTCCGGCGAGTGATCAGGGCACTCCACCTCCTGCTCCGGCGCATGAGGGCGGCAGTACTCCGCCACCTTCTCCGCCTGCTCTAGCGCGTCCGAGCAGCCCGCCTCCTCCTTCGCCGCCTCGTAAGCGACGGCAGAACACAGACGCCGCAGCTCCGACTGCTCCAACACGTCTTAGCAGTCCGCCTCCAGCTGCTCCGCCTCTTAAGCAATGAAAGAAGACAACCGCAGCCGCTCCAGCTGCTCCGACGTCTAGCAGTATAGACAGAGGTGGGAGGCAATACAAATTCGGTCCATCGTCTCTCAAGCCTCTAGAGAAGTTACCATACGAGAGGAGCGATGAGGAAAACCAGAAGATCTCTGAAGGCCAAGTGAATGACTTCTTTAAATCGGTAAAAGCTAAGAAACATCCACCTCCGACGGAGAAGATAGATCCGGTGAAAGCGAAGCGCACTTTGGATGCCCTGCAGCGACCACCACCACCTCCGCCGCAATCCAACTATGACCGCATCATTGAAATGACATATAAGGAGGCAGAGCGGTCGGAAGTACTTGCACTGATCAAAGGCTAGCAGAACGAAGAAAAGGGAAAACAATTCCCCAGCTCGGCGAACAAGCGAAGCAATCGTGGCCCCCGCTCAATGTGTCTAGCGATATCATCGCTAATCTTCCAGCGATGCTGCCCGGTACCAATTACATGCCCGACGACGATTCATTTTTTGAAACAATGGAGGTGGACACATTAAGATTCCGGCACGGGAAGCCTCTCGTCAAACCTGGTACTCCTCTAACAACGATGATGCAAAGATTCCATGATTGGTACATGGACATCTGCAGGAAGTCTAGGACGATACTTTGACGCTGAGAGTTAAAGAGGAACATGACCTCGTTGGAATTGATCTGTTGTTTCTTCCATATGAGGAGTTCTTCCAATTTTTCAATCAAAAGGCCCTCGATAAAACAATCATCACTTGCTACTGCCTGTAAGTACTACTTCTCTATAATTAATTAAGTCTCTATATATAGCTCAACTCTTTCATTGCCTGTATATATAATTATCCTCACTATATATATTATGCAGATTGAAGATCGCCGAATTGAAGAAAACACAAGTAGGTGATATTGGGTTCATTAACACAAATCTCATGGATGAATGGAATGTTAAACATGATCCCAAAGATGCCGAGGCCAACTTGCTACGATTGTTACTTCGGAATCAAAACAAAGATACAATACTCTTTCCTTACGAATACAGGCGAGTGTTACTGTCTTGTGCATATTCGGTTCCCTTATTACTTGAGGTTATAGTAATGTAATTGATGAGTTATGCATGCGTAC